TTCTATTTATTGTTAATCTAAATAAAGTCATTTAAATTATTAATATCAATTTGAGTTTATCTTTTATATATATATCTATATCTGTAATAAATATAATTATCTAGCCCTTGTTATTTCACCAATACGTTTGATGAATAAGAAGCTTTTAGGTAAAATATGATATAAATAAAGTTTGGATTCATTGATCTAAGCTAATATGATATATATGGTTTTTGGTATATAACTATTTGATCAGATAATAATGTAAAGTTTTCGTAGATATTAAGAGAAGCTTCGAGTTTAACTTTGTAGAATCATAACATCATCAATTATTGTCTGACGTGGTGAATTCACAAGTACCATTCAATGTAGTTAAACATATAATACATATATACAATATATATAAACACCATGTATACAATCTATGTATCTACAATACCTAAGCAAATGCTTCATAGTAAACGAAATTGATTTAATAAAGTAATCCAAGGAAAATAGTCAATTTATTCCAAATTCCCACTTGATTTGCTACAAACAATGGATGTGCCAATCAGTTGTCAATCAATATTTGAGGACACTTCCGCAAAAGGACTCAATAATATGTCGCAAAAGGATGACAATTAAACAGTCAAACGAGGACAATAGTTTAGTTTCAGGGGGCGCATGCAAATTTTTTGCAGTTGACAAAAAATACAAAATAGTTCATATGATATTTTATACAGAAGCAGAAAAATACTAAACAATTTTGGACTTCATTAAAATCACTAAAAAAGCGATTTAATAAAAATAAAAAAATGAGAAAAAATCATATAAAATTGAAATGAAAGTAAAATCGTACCCACAAATAAAGTGAAAATCAGGGTCAGCGCAGCTGGATCCAATCCTAGTACATTTCTTCTATCAGCGCTACACACTGGGCACGCGTCCAAGCAATGCATAGTTTACCCTCATTAAAGGACAGACAAATATACGTTAAGCTGTCCTGGTCGCTACATATCCCAATTTATGGTATTCTTTCCACATATTTTCATATTGAATTCTGGAATATTTTGCATTCAAAGCGGATTATTTTCAGCTCGGCTATTGTTGTCGTACATGCACGCACATTAGGCATTTCTGGTAGTGGACAATAGAACTGCAGTTTTCCGTGCACTCAACATATTTTTTTCTATTGAAATGCACCGTGAACGCACCGATTTCATTTCGCTTTACTCGTTTATCGAAATGAAGCCCAACAAATTCTTAATCCGACTGCAATTATCGTTCGGTTGCACCCTACGCAGCACCACTTTGCATGGGATTTTGCATTTATTTTTTTTATTATTCCTTTTGTTATAAAAAATATTTTATTTTTCATTTTTTATGCAAAATGCAAAATGCTAAGTGAAAATATCAAAATATATATTTTGATATATTCAGTTTTTACTGATCGTAAACATCTGATAACAAATGGTAACAATTGTAGTTCAGTTTGGTATTGGTCAACATTGAATGACCTCCACTGACCCCGGATGAAGTGTGCCAATCTCTTTTTTATTATCAATATTTTTTTTTGTTTTTTTTTTTATGCTAACAGCTTCTTTATTATTGTGCTGACAGACGTCAGACACGCCAGTTAAAAAACGGAATTATGTTTGAGGCAACAGGAAAGAAAAATATGGAAAATGTTTCCATACTCTGGGGAAAAGCATATTGTGATAATATTTTACGCTCATTAATGTATTTGTTTATTTTTTTCATTAACTGAAATGGTTTATTCATGATGCCAGAAGGGATGTGTTGTTCCTTGAAATTAATTGGCTTAACAGTCGCAATTTGTGGGGAACGGAGCGATATAATTCATCCTACATTTTGTTCGTATCCAACGATTATCTAACATAGCTTCATACGACCGAAGAAGAACGAAAATTTTATAGAGAGCGGAAGCCAAATAATCCTCCTTCCATTTTGTTTGTATACAACGATTGTCTAACGTAGCTTTATGAGACCAAAGAAGACCTAATATTTCTTAAGTTGAAACCTTAATAAAGCTCTTGTTTAACAACGAAGCTACATACCTGGGTGCCATCCCGGACAATATTTCAATTTAAATTCACAGCTTCAATATGCTGCCAACAAAGCAACAGAAACATATTATCTGTGGCAAAAGAACATAAGGTTTTAACTTTAAGGTGTACCATATTATACAAATAATCAGACCAATAATTATATACGTACCACTTATTTGGTGGTCTAAGGTCAAACAAAAAGAAAAACGCTGAAGTTACCTTAATTAAAATACATAGACTTACATGTGAAAGCATCACAGGGACCATGACAATTATTACCATCGATGCATTGATGTGATCCAAGCATTCCGCCATTCATTATTCACAATCGATTAACAGTAAAATCAAGGAACATATTTACATATACGAGGCTTATCTGGTTTAAGCAGAAAAGTCAGAGAGGCGAAGAGATCTATGTGAAGAACTGAAATTTTAACATGAACGTACATTGTGACCGAAAAGTTTTCGGAAATTCTCATTTAAAATTCGCGCGCTGTATATTTTTCGATATTTTAAGTTTATGTAGTTTGGCAGCACTGTCCTTAATTACTATGCCAAAAATGAGCGCGATCTGTCAGACAGTTCGTTTACGGCAGCTGTTGAAACCAGTTCCCCTCAGTAGTGCGTTGCGAAAAAACAATGGAAAAAAATATTGAACAAAGAGTTTGCATCAAATTTTGTGTTTCGAACGAAATTTCGTGTGCAGAATCGTTGCGAATGCTACAAAAGGCTTATGGGTAATCAGTTTTATCGAAAACTCAAGTTTATGAGTGGTACAAAGCCTTTCAGGACGGTCGTACGACCGTCGAAGACATGCCGCGTTCTGGACGACCTTCGGCCTCTACCACCGACGAAAACATTGAAAAGGCAAAGGAAATCGTGTTCCAAAATCCTCATGTGAGTGTTAGAGAGATAGCACGAGAGCTAGGCATCGGTCGTGAGAGCTATCCGCCGTAAACGGCCTCAATTGTGGAAGGATAATTCATGGATTTTTCATGACGATAATGCTCCCTCGCACCGAGCCAACATTATCAACGATTTTAAGGCCAAACATTCAATAAATACCATCAAACAGCCACCGTATTCACCTGATCTTGCACCGTGTGACTTTTTCCTGTTTCCCAAACTCAAATTACCACTCAGAGGAACGCGTTTTGAATCCATAGAAGACGAAAAACAGAATTCGCAGAGGGAACTCAAAGCCATACCGGAAAGCGCCAATAAAAAATGTTTTGATGATTGGAAGAAACGTTGGCATTTGTGTATCGCTTCTAATGGAGCATATTTTGAAGGAGATAAAATAAATATTGATGAAGATTAAGAATTTTGCGTTTTATTTAAAATTTCCGGAAACTTTTCGGTCACAATGTAAGTCATTATTGAACACGATCAGCATAGACCGCCATCCGTAATGACTGGTATCACATCCAATGATAAGTGTAAAAGTTTTCGTAATAAGAAGGCCAATAAACATCTTCTCTATCCCTGTAGAGTGCATAGCAAATGGAAAAAATGATTATATTATGTTTCTATTAGCTAAAAGATATCTCATATATTGCCAGCGTTTCTTCAAGAAGGTTCTGACCATTTGTAACATCAATAAAGTGGTTTAACAAAGTGTTATTATATAGAGGTTCCACTGAAATCAGGTGGTATCACAGTAAGTTAATTACGCATAATTGTATCGGTTTTCAAACAATGGAAGCCAAGGAACACGTATGCTAACCTACTTCTCTATATAACTAAGAAAATATATCTTGACCTGATTAATCTATATATAATTGCCTTTAAATCCTACCCACACATTTAACTTCTATAATTAAAATATTTGCAATATGATTTAGCAAAGATTGCTTAATAAAAAAAAAACATTAATCAACCGATTATCAGTTTTTTGGGTGGCGTTATATTGTATATATCTCCTAAAAGGCGATCCTCTAAATACCTCCTAAGTAAAATAAGCTTACTTAAATACGATAGTTTTCGTGATAGTAATCATATAACTACTAAATAATAATCAATATTTATTTATAAGTACGGTATAAATAATATATTTAATATTTTTTATTTAATTGATAAATATTAATTAGAACAACACATAAACGTAATCAAAAGAACACGCTTCTTTAATAAATTTCTATTTATGATGCTGATAGGTATATATATATGTGAGTGTGTGGACTGAAAAGTCTCTGACTTCATAAAAACTCAATTCATAAATAAACAAACTGGAAAATCATAAAAACTTAATTTCCAATTTGTAATATAAATTCATTCATTTAATTTTTAATTCACGTTTGTTTTATTAATGAGAAAGTTTTTGTATGTAAATATAGCAATTCAACAGAATTTATAGTATTTTCTGAAAAAAATTTTAATTTTGTTTACATACAGGGTGTATAGTACAAAGCAGTAATAAAATCAATTCGATATCATCGTTTTGAACTACATTTTTAGATGACACACATCATTGCTTCTACCAGACTTTGTCTATTATAAGAATAAACAGCCTAAACCTGAACTATATATACAATAGATTAATATATAATAGATTTATAGATTAAATATATCTCTTTTAATAGATATTACAGCTAATTCAAAAAATTATTTTTTCATTATTTATCAGATATTAAAGCGTAGATTAATAATAAAAAAACATAGTTCCCGACCTAGTCCGTATAATGGATTTACACTTGGACCATATGGAAATCGACTTTTTATTTACTTTTAATTTGTTAATCACACACTTTTGAGGTATTATTTGTCAAATAATAGATCGGAAGTTTTCAGTACTACTAAAAAACTTGGTAACTGGTCGACTAAATGTCAAAAGTAAAAATAATGAAATAAACTTCAACTTCAGTAATCAATTGAAAAAAAATTTTATCGACAGAGTTTCATTAAATTTACTTGTCGTTTTATTATTTAAAATAACCAAATTTTTGAAGAATTTTCTCATTTTTGTCTTGGAAGATGGGTTACGATTTAGACAGATTTCACGAGAAAATTTCAAGTAGCATGATTTGCAGCTTATGCCGCGGAGTCATGGAGAAGCCAACAACTGAGCCAACCTGTAAGCAAAAATTTTGCCAGGCATGTTTGGTGGCGTTTTGGTCCGTGTCTGGAAGGTGTCCTTGTGGCAAACGTATTTCAATACGCAAAACTTATGATGCAGGACCAGACTTGTGCATTCGCATTTCAAACTTACATATTAACTGTGATTATGCAGACAGCGGATGCAATGTCATCATAAAAGTGCGAGATCTCAAGTCTCATGTGGCCCAGTGTCCTTATAAGCCTGAATTTGAATGTGAAGCAGGTTGTGTTCTTGAAGAAAGTGATACTGAAGAGCAACGCCATAACTGTATAGAGGTGCAGAATGAGGCCTTAAAAGAGGTTCAAAATTCTATCAGTGAGCTGGCAGAGATGGAAAGCACTATTGAGGACAACTTAAACAAGAGCGATGCGTTAATTGAGTTGATGAATATTAATAACCCGTCTATCAATGACATACTCAATTCAATGTATATCTACAAGTTGTTTAAATCCATCTATAAGAAGTTAAAATCATTTGGTCGTCTGAAGATTTTTCTTATTTTGCTATGGTTTTTTGGAATATTTCTCATCTACACAATGATCTAGTACAGATCTAGTATATCAAGTATATATAGAAGCAATTTATGTTGCGTCTATATAAGGTAATAAGTAAACTAAATACTTATCGTTTAAGGACTCATTTATTTTAATTATTATATTCATTTTTATAAGTAGATGGAAATATATGTAAAAGAGAGAATATTGTGACCCAAAAAACCACTTTTTTCAAAAATAAAAAATAACTTTGAAATTACTTAAAAAACCTAATATTTATTGAATAAAACGCAAAAAAAAACATAGAACCAAAACTAACTTTATCTCCTTTAAAATAAGCCCAATCCTGTGATAAATAACTACAATGTCGCTTTACTCAATCCTCCACCCATTTTTCGTGGACTGATTAAGATATAACCTTTAACTCTTATATCGTAGATTCTTTTATATCTGCAGTCCACTTAAAAGGCATTTCGTAAAGTGGTAATGATGTATGGTCAGCCAAAAATTCATTTAATTTAATATGTTTAACAAAAACCTCTATTGAATACAATAATTTATATTAAAAATTTAGTTTCTTTAAAACCGACGTTAAAAATCAATTTAATAAATGGTGATTTTAACTTCAAGAACCGGAAAATATCTTACAGGTTGCTTGCATAATTAAATTTGCTAATGAATGCTCAACGATGGCTTCATGTCAATACAGAACACTCAAAAGTAAGATCATAGGAATAATTGATACACTAAAGTTGTCGTTTCAAATTGTCAAAATATTAAAATATAAAAGTAGCTTCAAAATTTAATAATTTGGACTAAATACCTTAAGAACACAAACTCACCTTCATTCGGAGATATTGCCCATTGTATTGCTCTCAAAGTTGCCTGGGAAGGACACGTCACGCTGACCACTATTTACTATTACTTAGTTAGCTGGCCATTACACCGTCAGTCGTTCTTGACCACATCGAACAGCCTTCGCCAGTCAGTCCGATTAGTTGCTTACTGTCGTCAGTTGATAGTATTGAGCGCCCCCAAATCGTTGGACACCTGGTCCTTCCATCAATGATGCTATTATTCTATTTACTATTATCCTAGTAAAACCGTTTGGTTTTTCAGATATAATTGAGAAAATCCGATAAGCGATGGTGAAATCTTCTATGCTCTTATGAATTAGATTCAAACTGAGCTGTTCAGAGACACAGAAAAATTAACCATCGCGGTGACCAATGATTTGTGAACTCGACGATTGCGAACTAAACTCTACCGAGGTATCGACTTCAGTTATGTACATTTCATCAGCAATTTTGTTCCCTTTAATATGTATACCCACGTTTAAGAAACCATTAAGAGATAACTTGTGAGGTTGGGTTCTCATTAGTAAAACACTAATCTATAAATAATGCACGACATCTTATGCCCAATATAGTTAAATATCTTCAAGCTCGTTGACGCACCATCTTATATAGGTTACATGCTGTGATCCATTGTTTATAAAACTATAGTGAAAATAATATATGCTAATTACTGTGCAAAGGTATTGGTAGTGTAATTAACTTAAAACCTCGATATCTCGAAAAGTAATTTATATCGACAGATATAGCAGATATAGCGACAAGTTTCTCAAAACAATACAACCTCTACTGAAATCTATTATCAAGTCATTGTAACCGTGAGGCCGAGACCCTATAAACAACAATTAGAAGCAGAAAGCACTAGGATTTGGAATAGAATATAGAATAAGTTATCTGGCAGAGATTGTTTAATGTAAATAGTAATATTTATTTAAATATATATTTGCGTTCAAGTGAGATTTCTTGGATACAAGACCATCACTTCAACTTATCCTAACCCAGTATATGTTAGGTATTTTAGACTACTGACGTACAAGACTCTATTAATAGTACTATATTAAAATAAAATATTAAAATAAAATATTAAAATAAAACTTAAGCATTTTAACAAAAAATTTTGTTTAGAAATTATTGTGAAATTATGTACCTAAAATCTTGACTAAAGTTAGTTTTAAGGGTAGGTATTTTTTGACCCATTAATTCGCCCATAATTCATAAGCCGTCAGCAACGATAAATTGAGGAGGGTGCATGCATGTTGCCACGTGCTGGAAATATTATATTTTCGCATGCTTTTCCAAATAAAATGCTTTCAGCATGCAAACTGCATAAGTGAGTAACTGCACTAACCACCCCACGGCACGGAGGGGTGCCTAAAACGTACCTCACATCAATTAGGGTGGATTTCTGGAACAGTGTTTTTCAATAAAATGCAATAATTTGACTCGCCGGCATGCAGCCGATCGCTTTGCTTCTAAGGGAGGAAACACCGCATTTTATTCGTTTTGCTTGCTTTTTTATACACTTTTTTTAGATATTTTTTAGGAGGGCAGTTTTTTAGCAATATTATTTTTAGTCAAGGGCTTAGCTTTTCAGATTTTAACCAATTGAAATACACCAATCAGCATTGGCGTTCAGCATTCAGGCAAATCAAATATGAAGTTTTAGATGCGCGTGAATGGCATTAACATTTCTTGACGTTTACGATTTGTTTTCTTTTCAATTAAAATTTCCAAACAAAATCTTTTTAAAGTTTATTTTCCATGAATTTATTAGATTTTTACGACTTAACATACATGATTGTATCTGCATTTGGAACTCTTAAAAAAACATAAAAATCGGTTGACACTAAATGCTGTGTTTACAGTTTACAGTTTATTATATTTAATTTCAAATAAAATCGAAAAAAGTTTAGCCATAAAATTTTTCAAAGCAAAATTCTATCTTGAAGACAGTGCATTGACACTATATTCAATTTTATGGGATTATCATTATCTTGTAAAAATAAAATAAAATAAATAAAACTCAATCTTAAAAAGCTTTGTTCGAAAATAGGAATTATGCACATACATATGTGTGAACATGGGGGGCTCCAATAACAGAAAAGGGTATCATAAAACCAAATCTTCGACTATAAAGAATAATGCTCCTATGTTATCATTCTCTATATTTTCAACACTAATTGTCTCAGACTTTTAAGACATAACCAAATTTGGTGTGATACAAATAGTCATATATAAATATGTAAATTAAATCAATTAATGTTCTGAATTAAAAAAAAAATATTCACACTAGAATCAAATATTAATGAATAACAAACTATTTTCATTAACATATTAAATGTATTTTCAAACAATAAAAATATATATAATTATTTATGTAATTATATATAATTACATATTATTATGTTGCCATACCAGCAATTCATCTGTATTTAAGGTTAGGTTAGGTTATGCTGGCGATGATCTCAAGGGGATCCAAAATACAATGACCTGTTAGTAAACCTACTGCCAGACTGATATCTCTACGGGGCATCTCTATGAGCGAGTTCGATATTCTTCTATTAGTATGTTGCCAAATTGTATATAGATATCTGCATATAGTAGAGTCTTCCCATCTTTTACTAAAAGTTCAACACGGAAAGAACTCAATACCAATTTTCTTCTGTATTATAATAATAAATTCATAATAAATCATAATAAATCCATAAATTCAATTAAGTCCTTCAATTCATTATTTGTAAATCGGGTATAAGGCGTTTAATGTACCTTTCTTAAAAACAAAGAAGGTTTTGTTTGTGGATTCATAGTTTCGTCGAAGTAATTAACCGCCATAAATCATCTCCAACAATAGTTATTGGTATAACAATAAACTTAAATTATTATTGCAACTTTTTGAGCGAAACTTAAGCCAAACAATGAAATCTGATCCGGTTTACGGAAGACCTAATTGAATTCACAACAAAACAATAAGCCTGTTCACACAGCACGATCACAAAAACACGATCACTAGAATCAGTGGATCACAGTATGAATTATTGCAAACAACCAGTAATTTCAACAAATTGAATCTTTTTATAATACTTATGCTTCTCACGTCATAGAAAACCAATTTTGATGGCACGGAGAGGTATCAGCTACCATGAAACGATATTTTATGGTACTTACGGAAGTCCAATACATGAGTTGGGATCATTAAATCGAAAGATAGTTGACGTCTTAAATTGAAGATTGTATTGTGAAATAGTCATTTTCTTCACTAAAAAATAGTTTTATGTACTTTTTTAAGAAGATAGTTATTTTTTAAGACACAATAATATTTCTAAACATCTAAACTTATTCTTCATTAATTCATATTTTAAAATTAAGTGTTTACACTTGGATTTTGAATGAATTGAACAGACTTTCTCACTTACTGAGTTGGCCATTACGGACATGAATCGTCCTTGCCCGCATCGAGTGGGGCTGTTAATAGCTGTGAAGGAAGTGCTTGCTTGGTTTATATTATAGCTGTGGTAAAATTCATTGTATGCAGTAGTCAAATTCTTTACACAGTGAAAACTGCATTAAAAGTGCATAGCGATTGAAAACGATACCCAAGGTTTAGCAAAATAAAACAGCGTAAGATTATGAAGTATATTAGTAACAAATTACGGTCCTTGAGTTGATTATAGTGCGATCTGATCTCTCTATACCTATTATTAGATTTCTTATGCTGTAAAGCAAATTAGTTTTTCATTATATGCTTTAATCTGAACAGACCATAGTGACTTAAGCAAATATAATACAATAGTTAAAAAAAATGTTCTTCGATATGTTTATTTCTTTTCTAATTTATATAATAAATTGTATTTTTGTACATAATTCAGTGTCATTCCTAGAGTCAGAACAAAATTCTTACAATTCTTCTTCTTATATCTCATTGATTTGTGATCTGATTATTTATAATATCGTTAAGAGTCCGTCACTATCTAAAATCCAGTTTCACTTCACATCCAGCACTACTTTATGGGTTTATCGCGTATAGCAAAGCTGCCGACTCTACTATACAAAATCTAAAAGTTGCTCAAAGTCAGGCTCTCCGAAGGCTCTTCAAAGTACCATGATACATCCGCACGAATGACATGCTAAGAGACCTTAGAATAGATACGGTCAAAAAATTCATAAGGGTCACAGCTATATACGAAAACCGACAGGCTGCCCTACTTGGCACTATCTAATCTCAGAGTAATCACGGTATGCAGATCTTAGATCAATCATTGAATAATCACGTAGATTATCAGGAATACTTAAATTAATCAGTGAGATGGGCGGGACTCTGCAGAATAAAAGTGCCCAGGTGCACTAACTCGGAAAAGGCTTAACATAGCATAACTTCACCAATTAAAAATTAGGTGAAGGTAGAATTTTCCCATTAACTGCAACAAATAATATTAGCTTCACAAAGCCTAATTGTCTCCCAATTGGATACACATTATTAGTTACCAGAACAGTTCACATTAACCAGTATATTAAATCACATTTTTTTATATAATTCAGTGCCATTCCCAGTATCAGAACAAAATTTCATATCTCATTGGTTTCTGATCTGATTTTTTATAATATCGTTAAGAGTCCGTCACTATCTAAAATCCAGTTTCACTTCAACTAGTAAAAATTAGGTGGAGGTAGAATTTTTCCATTAACACTGCAACAAATAATGTTAGCGGCTTTGGTTCTTCCAATTGGAGACATTATTAGTTAGCAGAACAACTCACATTAACCAGTAAACTATGTTATTTATTATAAATAGAAATCCCGTTTTCCTAAATTATCTGTTAACGTGTGAAAAATGCATGAAAAGAGCAAATATCTAAATTTGAAATGCACACAAAAGCAAGAAATTCATTCAAAGAAGTCAATGCAGCGCATTCAATGCGCATTTGCATCTCAGATATGCTGCGCTCCGTCCCAGCAAAAGACGCACTAATTAATTGCTACATTGTGCGTTAATGCATAAATTCCAAAAATTTCATTTGAGTATGTATGTGTGTGTGTGTGTGTGTGTGTTGTTAGTGTTTTGTTGTGCTGTTTTGTTTTACTTTGTTTTGATAACATTCTTAAAATATTCATATAAGTATTCCCCAATGTACCACGTACGATATACGTTATGAATATTCTCGTATATGAATATTTTCTTTAAGTATGAAAAACCTTTCACCCCGCGTCAAGTATCTATTTACACTTCAAATATCTTTGACCTCATTATTTTTCTAATTTTTCGGTGACGTTTTTATTGTTTTTATTTCTTTTCATTTCTTTAAATTTTTTTTTTGTTCATTATTTTTTGTTATTTGTTAGCTACTCATATCTTTATTTTTTATTATTTCCCTTTCAATGAAAATTTCCTAATCTTAAAGAATTTCTTTCTTTGATTCTTAAATGTGCGCTGCTGCTGTTATTGTTGTTATCGTTGTTGTTGTTGTTGTTGTTGTTGTTGTTGTTGTTGTTGCTGTTTAATATTGTTGTTGTTGTTGTTTCTTTATTTCTAATTCGGTTCGTGTTTTGTTGTTTTGAGTTTCTTTTCGTTTCTGCGCTGCTTTTGGAATTTTTGATTGCTCAACAGCGCCGCTTCTTGTTTAAATTTTTTAAATTCCACTTCGACGCAGTTTGTTTAGAAAATGAGGAGAATGAGAGAATGTGTTATTAATATATTTGTGTACTAAAAAAAAAAAACAAAAAAAATAAAATTAATGTTTTCAAATGAGGTAATGACAAAAAAAATTTAAATAATTTAGCTATTGCAATGGCGCGCGTGAGTTAGACTGAAAGGGAACATCGCAGACCACAATTAATTTTATTTTCATCATTAAAATTATTACTGCTGTGTTTAGACTATAAACGTAATAACGTGATTAAAATGAATCATATTTATAGGTGTAGTCCATTTGTGGAATAAATGGAGATGATTCAGTTCAAGTGTATTAAATTAACATATTAAAATTATTTTTAAAAACTATTTTTGATTTTTAGGTGCGCCCATGTATATTAACGTACATATTTAAATTATGTTAATTATGACGTCAGCTACAAATTAAAGTTTTTAGTTAAATAAAAAAATTGAGAGCGATTTTTAAATCGATTACTAGGCCATGTTTTATACAATTTACATTTTACATAAGTTGTATATACATACTATATCACATATTTAAAACATTAAAAATATATAATATATTTGTTATGTTGTACATAATGTAAATTAATTACATAAATAATATTTATATTAAGACATAAAAGTTAATTTCGAAAAAATTAAAATCGCATAATGGTTTTAAATAATACATTTATATATATCAATTAATATGCAATCTTAATAATTTTATTTGATCTTATTAATTTTTAAAATTGTTCATTCATTTTATATAATTATTTATGTCGCGTAAAATTAACAAATTTAGAGGAGATTTTTTACGCGAGATTTGTTTTTAGTACAGTTTTCATTTTCAATGGGTTAATATCGGGTAAAATGTATAACATTTGAAATTAATTTATAACACCTGAGATTAATTTATAACACTATAGATATATTGACAGCTGGAAATTACCCTATAATTAATAGCTGTTTTATATTATTTAACAAATAAAATGTATTTGACATTTGAAATATTTGAAATATTGTGTTTATTTGCAAACTAAATGTTGAAAATTTAATTATGATATTATAATAAAACATTATTCTGAACATAATCGATTGGGTCATAAAATTCGAGCAAAACATTACAGAGCAGGAGCAGATCTAGATTAGCCAATGAAAGACAACTTTAATTTAAAACGTTCCTTATGTATTAAGAAGTTATGATAAGTTCATAAGTTATTATATTTAATAAAAGGTTGTTAATAATAATTAATTATACAGATTACTATAATCTATGAAAAATATTTTGTAATTTAATTTAAATGAATCTGGTCAAAATCAAATATATGATTTAAATGAAGTTGTGATATTAAATTATAGATCGACTATAATAATTCCTTAAGAACTATTAATTTTTTATTAAATTTATTTTTAAGTCATATATAATATAAAGAAATATTTTTTTTGTTGAAATTTGTTACTATTTATATCATTCTAGTATTTATTTTATGTATTTTGTTTATTTATCTATTTTTAAAATTTATTATTTATATTGTATTACGATTTTGTATTAGAATTTAAATCGCGCTTTACGTTACTTAATTTTTTAAAAATCAATCAAATTAAATGACTGTCATTTAATTAATTTTTAGTTATATCAAGAACTTATGCCTTATTTTACAATCATAACTTAAGCATCGAAACGAAATTAGGTATAAATTAATTCACGAAAATTGATAACTTAAGCATAACTTAAGTTAAAATTGAAATTTAAGTAACGACTGAGAAATTAAGTTTTTAATACAACCAAAAATTAATAAATGTAAATGACTTCGTTATTTAATTTTATTGATTTTTTAAAAATTAAATAACGTAAAGCATGATTAAAACTAAATCAAAATATTATATTAAAAGTTCCACATTAATTATAATTAATTTAATTGAAATTTATTTTGAAGCCAAATATGTGGAGAGAAATTAACTTTTTTAATAATATTAAGAAGGTTAATTGTACTTTGTTTTTTATTTTTTTAATCATTTAAAATAAGTAAAATTTATTTTATAAGATTTTTATAATAAAATATATAATTATTTTAAATGGTTTTTATAAATTTTTAATAAATAAAAGAATTTTAAAAAAATGTATATATTTTTAATAAATAAAAAAATTAAAAAGAAAACAAAGTATCATTGGTCGTTTTTAATTTAATTTAAAATATTTTTATTTCATTTTTTATTTTCATTTCGAAATTAACAGACATTATTTAATGTTGTGCATAAACATACACAATTATATTATTATTGTTTATTTTTTTTAATTATTATTTATTTATTATTTATTTTTTCATAGATTGTTTTCGAAAATATCTCTACGAAGCCTATTATTATTCCCACCAAGATTCACTTTTCTCATAATATCCTCATTTGCGAGCGAAACGTTAGGCAACACTTGAATAACAAGGATACAAATTCATAATTACTATCCTGTGACTAACACAACATCTATCTCATTTTTGCGCACACACATAATGCCTACCGACTAGGCTAGAAAAACTCACACAATACCAAATCGCACATAACACAACAACGTGTCGCTGCGCCGTTGTCTAAATTTATTCAGTCTCCGCTTAGTTCAGCGGTTAGGGTTGCGATCGTGAGCAAAAGTGTGCAATAGAATAGCTGCGTACGAAACGTATTGGCTGACTATTGCGTAGTAGTACACTTCGAATTCTACGATACAAAGCAGCGCGGTCATGGTGTCGTGCTGCCGCTGCCGCTGCTGCTGCTGTTAGCTGAGCACAGCTACTGCGATGTTATATGTTGTTAGGCCTAATGTATTGTTGTTGTTTTCGTCAATTACAAATTTGAGTTTTTTTCTCGTTTACTTTTTGGGTTCTTTTAATATGTTGAGCTGAGCACTGCTTGTCATAGGCATAGGCATAGGCACAGTCATCGTCATCATTGTTGTTGTTCTTGTTGTTCTTGCTGTTGTTGCTGCTATTGCTGTTGTTATTGTTGTTAGACTTTGAATATTTGTTCACGGAATTATTTTTTTGTGGTTCCTGGAAATAGTAAAACGCAACTATTCGTCAGTGTGTCAGTCTGCGTCATACGTAGTGCACATGCACAAGCAAACACGGAAAAATAGAAAAATAAATAAGTAAGAAAAATAATTAAATTAACAAAAAAAATTATTAATAATAATAATGATCGAGCAATGGCGGTAATGCGTAGTTATTGCTTTTAATAATAGTTTTTTTTTCGTAAAGTAAATAGTAAAACTTTAAAGTTCGTCGTACGAAAAGCAATAAAGTAGAGAAAATATAAACAAATAGTGAACAAAACAAAACGCAATTAAAAACAAACCTGTTAATGTAGTGTTCAGAGAGAAAAAAAACAAAAATCGAATTTGACACTAAAACGATAATAAAAAAAAACATATTTTTCCAAATAAATATTATAAATAAATGTTAAGTAAAATATAATAAATAGAAGTTCCAAGCAAAAAGTAACAAAAATGTCAAATCCTACAAGTGCAGCATATCAGAAAAATAGTACGCAATCACCGGATGTAGGCATGCATCCAACAAACGCCACAACAACAACAACGCCAGGCATAGCAGCGACGTCGACTAGCAGTTACAGTAGCCAACAAAGCAGTCCACGCCACTTAGGCGACGAGGTCGACGCAGCCTTCGCAAGGAACAATAACAACAACACAAGTAAAAATGGTAAATTGGGTATTTTAGATATTAATTTGTGTATTAAAAAAATTTTAATAATTCTATAATTAAGTTTAATCATTTGAACTAATTAACATTAGTCTTCATGTATTTTGAACTAATGTGACTGGTCAGTTTGACAATTTTCTATAGCAAAGCATTCGACCAATCAGCACTTTTGGTTTTTTACACATAATAAAACATTGCCCTAATATATAGCATTTTTTTAACCAGAAGTGGTAAAAAATGTTCTTAAAAGCCAACTACATCCCCCTGCTATTTACACTGTACATTTTTCAGTTTACTACACAATACTATCGACCCTTCCGTCTATAATGTATCAATCATATAAACACTGCATTTCCACTGAGGGTTGTTTGCTGACATATATGGTCCAGGGGAACAATTTCATCTACAAAATCACACCCTCAACACTGAAATTTCTTTTGTGACAATCTCTAGTTTTGCTTTGGAAACAGAAGTAGTGACTATTTTTGGCATAAGTGCTAAAATATTGATTGATACAATTGTACCACGAAGTTTACTCTTATATCATATATCATATATCACTAAACCAATACTAAAAACCAGATATTGTAGAGAGAGACATTTGAAAATATTCAAGAATGTTAGAAAAAATGCTTATTTTAAGTTTGGGATATTTGTGAATCTTATTCATAAATGAATATATATGAATATGTATGAAATATGAATCACCAAAAAAGATTTATCATTCTGAACGTCGAGGTTGGTATAATCATCTTTTTAATCCTAATTATATTAATAAAAATATACACACATATAGGTATATATATATAGGTATATACAAATACATATTAGAATAATGTAACGTCCGCCTAATGCACAGCGGAAAGGCATAACGGTCATAATTATATTGATAAACATGGACACATATAAGTATATATAATTGTATATAAATCGACGGTTCAAGACATAACAGAAGAAGAGTTAGTAGTTAAAGCGTTATCAGAACAAATCAGAGTAGAATATCAGTTAGAATCAGACTACTATATTAAACAAGTAGATATATAATTTCCTAATTATTATACTATAAGAATCAGAGTACTATATTTATGCAAGCAGATATATAGTATTCTGATTTTTATATCATCACAATCAGAGTACTATAAATACGCCTATGTATATATAGTATGCTGATTCTGATTGTATTTGGTGCACGTATGGCCTAAAGCTGCTACTAACAAGACAAACATGAAGGAACTAGGAAGACAAGACAAGACTAAAACACTGGAAAGGCAGTATACTGTTTTGAACACTATAGTTACTGTTATAGATGGTAAAAATCTTACTGATAGAACAGCAAAAGAGGCAAAGTACATTAGAATTCACATAAGCACCAGCGAACGCCTTAAAACAATAACGAAATACAATGACGATAGAGAAAACATGTTTTCACTAAATAGAGTGATCAATAAAATATTTACAAACTATACAATAGACCTAACTTTTACTAGAACTTCAGATTGCTAATAATTGGTTACTTTCAGTTACTTTCTGCATAAATATAGGCACACATCCGATCCATACTATAGATTTTATTGTAATTGAATCTTTTTTTGT